TTTACCTATTTCTTATATATTCTTGTGGTGGTCCGGGGGACACAATAAACACACCCACTCTCTTAAGCGCAACTCGGCCAACTGATGCCACGGTTTCACCGAAATCAAGACGGCGACTAAGGGTCGTATTCCAGAACTCTACTGAATTCAAGTCAGGATTTGAGCAGACTTGTGTATGATTTCAATCACTGGAAATACGACCTTAATGGCAAGGACTTGAGTATAATTTTCAGTGCTCACTGCTATACTCAAGTCAGGATTGCACTGGCAACACACGCACTGGAAATACGACCCTAATGGGACTTGAGTATGATTTCGAGTGCTTTAAACCATACTCAAATCCTGATTTGAGCATTGAGTAGAGTTCTAGAATACGACGCTAAGTGTGTTCTCTTGCTGGTAAGAATAGGTGTTTATCATTATAGCTATCGCACCATCTCTGTATTGTTGCTAGAACTTTTTACCGGTTGTCCAATAGACTTAAGCCACGTAAGATTTTATGGGGACCAAAACTTGATGCAAAAAAATCCTAAAATAGATAAAATAAAAAATATCGATACGTTTTTTTGACAACAGTTATAATCATAATGTTTAAATATGTAATTACAAATAATTGGTGGATATTATTTTCGTTCGTAGTATGAAATATCATGGTGCGACAGTTACTTGAGGACAAACATTAATACTATGGATCGAAGTTTTAGGTCAATCGGACAACCATTAAATAATGGATAATTTTGATGATTTAGTAAAGATTTGGGGTTTGAGTTGGTTAATGATATATTTATTTTAGTATTTATTTTAAGAAAACCATACATAAAACAATTATAGACTTAAAGAATTCTTGTTAGTAGTCTCACTTTGTCTGGGACATATTGAGTTGGCCGTCGGACAAATAAAAGTTGATTGACCCACCTACATCGCCGGATATGTAGTACGAGTAATACAAAAAAATATGATGCAAAGAATCAGCAGTGCGCTGGTCATAGTTAAGAGTTCCTTGCTTTCGAGGACGAAGGTAGTCTAGCTTATCCCACCTAAGATGCTATCCAAATATGCATAGTAGCAGAGTTAATAATCCGAGAACGTATAACAAATCACAAAAATTTCACACGAGGCCGTCATTAAGTAAATCTCTTTTGATTAATAAGATTTTACCATATTTTGTGCTGACAAAATATAGTAAAATCTTATTAACATTTTCATTTGTCTTGCCATTCATCAATTTGATTAATTATTATATACTATATTGGCGTGCGTTTTCATTATATAAGTTAATCGATAAGATCTTTTATTTCAAAAAGATGTTAATTATATAATAAGCTCATTTTATGGGAAGGACAATAATTTTAATATTTGAAGTCGATTAAAAATTAAAGTCTCAATTTTTTTTTAAGTAATCAACATTTTTTAAAAGCAAGTAAAATAAAGGACTTAACTATCTTATTCTAGTATTTTTCTACTATATTATTATTACGACTACTTGTAATCAACAAATACTCGAACAAAAATTATTCTATTTAAAATCGAATAATTATATGGAATACGCGTGTTTACGCGTATTCCCTTCAATCAATCGATTTAGAACGAGCGGAAGGAGGTTTCCTCTCTAAATTGTTCTTGTGACGTCATAGTGGATACAAAAAATATGTCACGCTTGGTTTTCATACAAATTAGTAGGTACAGGGTCAGGAGCACGTCAAGCTTGACATTTAAGACTTGAATCCAACTCTATGCCGCTTACGATAAGAACAGTCCAAAGTACAAAGTGTTAAGCTTGATGTGCTCTTGACTGTACGTACACTTGAATAAAGCACGGCTAACTTTATGAGCATTAAGGGTGAAATAGTTGTTTGTTATTCGAGAATACTCGAAGGAGTGCTAAAGGTGTTAATAATAAATTTTTATTGCAACAACTGTTAGTGCCTGGGTAAAGGTACAGATACCTTCACGGTTGAGTGGACAGCTCTGAGAACAGATATACCTATCTACCCTTTTTCGCTGTCCACAACAACCATCATCTTGATTACTTGTGGCATTACCATTGTCTTTCACTTTTTTTTCCTTCAAACCACACTCGCTGTGTCCACACGCGAAACTGAAATCAGACCATTTTTGTGTTTATTATTATTGTTGTACAGGGTCAAGAGCACGTCAAGCTTGACACTTAAGACTTAAATCCAACTGTATACCTTTATATATATAAAAAAAAACTTTTCAGATAAAACCGCAAGATCCATAATTTGTTAGTAGTAACCTTATAAGTATGTACTATTATTATACTATAGAAACCTTGATTACCACTGACCCACTCACTTAGATAATTGTTCTCCCAGAAGGAGTCGTGGTGGGTAAGAATGATGTACGGGAGTCGTGGTCGGATGGCTCCAGTGAGTACCAGAAAAATCCGAAACCTTCGAAAAATGGACTGCATCAGGTGGGACCCCGGCTGCGCGGCTAAAGTATAACACCTACCGGCAAGATTGTCGAACTAAAAATGGCCGCCATCTTAGTCAAAATTCGAATAAACAAGATGGCCGCCATACAAATTTCAGAGCCCTATAGCTCGGCGAGTATTTTTTTACCTACAGTCGTCTCGTACTATTCTGTACGGAATTCGTTTGAGCGCCTCTCATCTATCTCCAACAGTCGGCGAGATATAGGCTTCGGAATATGGTGGACTGTGGAAAATGTATGACGGCCATATTGGAAAATGGCAGAATAAAGTACTTGACCGCAAATCCAGTTACCTCTTATCGCCCTCTATAATATTAGTTTGAACACGATCTACCTATCTCCAATAATTGTCGAGATACGGGCTCCCAAAATTTGTATGGTGACCATTTTATTTTTCGAATTTTGAATTTTTTTCACTCTTGGTAGGAACTGCCTAGGGTGTGGATAGACATTTGTTTGGAGACTTTGCCACAACGTATACGTTAGCTGGGCAGTTGGATCCTACCTAATGCGGAGCACGTTTCGGAGATTTCGTTGCCTTCTGATATTTGATAAGCCCGTCTGACCATAATTCACCTACATTATTTTTACGCCAAAAGAAAAATGACGCCAAAGGTCAGAAAATTCACATGTATGGCGGCCATCTTGGAAAATGGCGGAATCGAAATTTCGACTTCATATTCGCATTGAGGGCCCCATACACGGCCGCATGCCAAAGTTCAACCGGATCGGACCTCCTTTTTTTGGAGCCGCCATTTTGAATCAGCCATCTTGAAAAAATTTTGTCACTGACAGTTGACCCGCACCGCTCTCTATGACATTTAGTCGAGCACCCCCTGCCTATCTCCAATACTTGCCGAGCTATAAGGCTCTGAAATTTGTATGGCGGCCATCTTGTTTATTCGAATTTCGAATTTTTTCACTTCCGGTAGAAACTGATCAAGATGGCGGTCAATTTTAGTTCGACGACCCTGCCGGTAGATGTAATACTTTAGCCGCGCAGCCGGGGTCGCACCTGATGAAGTCCACTTTTCGAAGATTTCAGATTTTTCTGGTACTCACCGGAGCCATCCAATCACGACTCCCGTACATCATTTTTACCCACCACGACTCCTTCTAGGAGAACAATCATCTAAATGACTGGGTCAGTCAATCAGTCAGTGGTAATCCAGCTATATATAGTATAATCTTAGAATAATAACGCATACAAACCTAGTCCGCACACGCTAAGTGAGGCAAATTGAAGCGCGCCCAAAGGGCCTACACGAGCGGGCGGGCCTTCAGTGCTCAAGGTCAACTTGCACCGCGAACAGATCAAGAATTTTAGCTAAAAATGACGAAATGTACGGTAAATGAGAGTAAAAATACGTCAGACAAACATAAAATAGATACTAACATCACATTCCACAAGGAAGTAACGCGTTTCAACTTGTATTTTTATATAAATATTCACGAAAACCGAAAATTAACCTACTACTAAAACTAGCCTACATAAATTAGATTTTTGCCTCACTTGTGACAGTTCGTTTGATATGAAACTATCATTCTATGCGTTATTATTCTAAGAGTATAATAATAATAATGATAATAATAATAATAACAGTGGTTGCATGTATATTTTTTTGGCTTATTCCCAATTCCCCACTGGCTTTGTTCCATAGTTTCTTTTATTTTTTTTTCATCCTCTAAGCTTTGTTCCCACTGACTGGCGACAAATGGAATTTAAAATATCCCAGTAGTTGCCAGTAATAACAAATGGAATAAAAAATTCCAATTACTGTTGTTTATTGCCGCCATCGAAAGGGAATATAATAAATCGAAATAAAATAAATTGAAAGGGAAAACAAGGCAGCCACGGGTTGTGCACCCTTGAAACATTGCCAATATGATAAAAAGTCTTTCCACGCAAATGAGCTTTTAGAGCTTTTAAAGCACCGTAGTGCTTTAAATAAAAATAATGATTTGATTTATTTTGTTGTCAACAGCACATCATTTTTTTCCCATCCTTGGGTCTTATACCAGAACTCTATTCAATGCTCAAGTCAGCACTTGAGTATGATTTCAAGCACTGGAAACACGACCCTAATGGCAAGGACTTGGGTATGATTTCTAGGGCTGAAATTATACTCAAGTGCTGACTTGAGCATTTCTGGAATACGACCCAGAGTTTACTTTCGAACAAGTTTCGAAAAAATCGTTTCATTTCCAATGTTTGGCAATCGGGAAAAATATATGAACTCGATATAAAATATTTTACTAAAAATCAATAACCGTGAACATCACTAAACTCAAACGACAAACGTAAATTGAAATTTAATCGTGAATACCACATCACTAGGCGACGCGCCGCGCTACTGTCAAATTCGTTCACATCACATCATAGTGCCACAGTTTTTAACAAAAAAAATATGGATTAAATTAAACAATTTACATATAAAAATTGTTACTAAAGTGTTCTTCAGTGAACATAAATGAATGGTTGCGTATATTACACGAAATAGTACATAAATACCGTTTCAGATGTAACGTAAAAGTGGTTAGAAATGGACCAACAATTCTCATTGTCTTGGAACAATTTTCACGGAAACCTAACGAAAGGTTTCGCCGGTTTACTGGGAAACGGTGAATTCGTCGATGTGACAATCGCTGTGGAAGGACACTTGCTGCAGGCTCACAAGTGTATACTATCAATATGTTCGCCTTATTTCAAGAAAATGTTTCAAATGAATCCGTGTCAACATCCTATAAGTACGTAACATGTTTCCACTGTAACAAAATATTTCTTCGAAGCAACTTGTATTCATATTTATAATTATATTCATGCTTATTCAATGTTAGATATATGTAATAGAGCCAATTAGATATTCTAAAAGGTCTGATTTTTTTCTTTAAAATACATCATCAGAAGTGTACATGTTTTAATTCAACAAGAATTTGTGTGTACTGTAATATGGCTATTTTATTTTCAGTTGTACTAAGAGATGTGACACACAAAGCTATGAGGGATTTACTACAGTTTATGTACCACGGAGAAGTGAGCGTGAAAAGGGAGGATCTCACTAGTTTTATAGGCACAGCTGAAGTGTTACAGATTAAAGGATTGACTAACAAAGAGGTTAATTTTCTATGATCTTATTTTCTTTAGAATCTCAGTTGTAACATAAATTCAAAGTAATAATCAAAAAGTGGCCCCACAGGTAACTTGAAGGGTAAGGGTGCTGGTAAAATTACAGGCACATGACACTTATCGAGTTCTTCGGTTATCGCGATTGTTACATATAGGAAATGAAACTATATTTTCAGTTTAAATCCCATATATTTGTTATTTCAAACAAACCAATGTTTTGGGCCCTTTACAGGTCCCATGGTCACGGTTGACTATGCGATTTAAATCCAGAAAAATGGTTTCATTCCCACATGACACTTGTCAACTTACATCTCAGGGTGACAGGTGCAGCTTCAGTGCAGTCTTTGTGATTTAAAGCTTTTAGTGGCACTGCAACTGTTATGGACAGGCGTGTAGCTTACCATCAGGCACACGATTTGTTCATCCCATCACTTGAAATTATTAAAAAAACTTAAATTGAAGGGTCATCAAGCCTACTAGCAGTTGTCTAATAATAAAAAGTTCTAAAATTCTTTTTAGATTTATTTATTATTGTAAGCGTTTATTTCAAAAACTAATAAAGTGTCTTTTTTAATGCAGACTGAAGATGATGAGAGTGAGAAAGAGTCCGAACAAGAGTCCACAAAGCATAGCTTGGAGACTCAAAACAATAGACTTGATAGGAGCACCGAACCCGACTCTGAAACATTTGAAACTACAAATGAGGATGCAACCCTAACAGATATGAGTATGGAGATACTCAAACAAAAGGAGTTTATTGAAAAACTACAGAAACTTAGCAATTTAAAACGTAAATCTGATGAATTTGTATCCAAGAGTTACTACTCAGATCTTATGAACACAGGAAAAAGGATTAAAATGAGAGAAAAATACAATAAACCAAACAATTTTCTGTTACAAAGTAGTAATTTTGAAGATGTAAATCGTAAAGATTTTTACGATGAAGGTCCATTAGATATTTCGTCACCTCTTAAGCAGCAAATAAATATGAACAAAGAGATTAATGATAAATGTAAAGACCAAACTTCTAATGCATTGGAATTGAAAACAGAATGCGATGACATGGATATTATAGTCACTGACCCAGCTGTCTGCACTACGCCTAAAAGTTTTGACGGATCAAGAGATTTGAAGAAGGATTTACCAATGCCTGTGGGCTATCAGTCTCCTCAGGATAGTAAGTATCTTAGATTGTCTGCTGCTTCTACACTGTATTTAGGAGTTTGTGCATCATACTTCTATAAACAATTAAGCACAAGTGCACATATTTTAATAGTAGTGTAGTGTTCCTTTGCTTACTAATGCTTATCTTTATGTAGTATCATGAATTTTGTGCAGTTTACACCCACTATTTTCTTGAATATAATATAATTAGATTAGATTGTGTTGAAAATGCAATCATTTATTAATTTTTCATTCATAAACTTACCTTTTTTTCTTTTGCAATCCTGTCAATACTTGAAAACACGATGGCATTTTCAACATAGTAAATTTTGAATAAAGTTTACATTTTGATAGGATACAAGTAATGAAAATGCCCATCGTGCTTTCAGATTGCCCCAGTTTGAATTCTTTGTTCATGGATCTTAAAAACTTAGTGAACGGTAAGGTGCCTGAAATGCTGCGAACCAACACACAGGAGTTTCCAAGGCGCATGGAACATCAGCTGATAACAATCCCCCAGAAAGAGGATGGGAAAAAGAAATATCCCCAGAGATCTTGCAGACTCTGCTGGAAAATCGGAAAGCGACGAGATACAAGATTCATGTGTAGTGCTTGCGAGTTGCCCTTCTGCAAAAGCCCCTGCTTCCAAATACACTTTAATGATATACTCAAAGTATCTCAGTTTCAAGGCGACTATTATGCAGCTTAAAATATATTTTAGTATTTTACTTAGGTCCTCTGTAGAGGAGTTGTAAGACTATTTTTAAAACATACTTTTACATAATTTGGCTGTTGGAGCCCTGGGTTACACAGAAAATTATGAATCATAGGTTCAAAACTAGCTTGGGGACCAATAGGATGATATAATCAAAAGAAGTATGTTTCATGAAATTAGTGTATAAGATGCAGAATTTATGTAATCATGAAGCACAATAAAATAAGTAATTAACTGTGATAATGATGGTTAGCTCTCAAGTGCCAATTAAATACAGAATAATTATTTTTATGAGCAAAAAAAGTAAAAATGTATCCATTTTAATTTCGTGCCATCATTTTTCTGCCATACTGAACATATAAAAGACTTCTATTGCTCATTTTCTAGTCTATTTTTGTATTAAGGATTTTGTAACTCATTTTGTCAGCTGATTGTAAAGTAGGCTTTAGTGTTTATATTTTTTTTACCCATTTTTATTATAATGATCTCTTAAGAACAAGTTGATTGTAATTTTGCTTATGAAACAAAATGCTAATTTGAGGTTTACATTCCAGAATTTTAAAAGGTTTTTAATTCAAAATTTATGGATTGTTAGCTCAATTATTGATAGATTATGATGACATAATCATTCAAGTAAGCTCTGAGATTTTGCTATTTTATAATGTGTGATGTTGATAAGTGTGGCTTATAAGGAACATATTTTTATATTCATATCTCAATAAATTTTGAAAAGACAGACACATGTTTCATTGTTTTTTTATTGATATTGTCCTGGTATATTTGGTAATTTTCACTTTTCTAACATACCAATTTATTATTCACAGGTGCTCTCTCCTTAGTAATGAATTCGAACGAATCGAGCGAAAACCAACACTTGCCTGTTCGCTACAAATACATCTACAGCAGAAAAGGTCACAAACAACTAGTGCATATGAACTTTGTGTACACGAAACATTCAACTACGCACGGCAAAACATCGTGGCGGTGTGTGCAGTACTTTTCTCTTAATCGGTGTCCAGCTACTATAGAAACAATTGACAGCATGATATATGCTATAAATCATCACCACAATCACGAGGATTGCTATGAAAAATTAACTAGAAACAACATCTACGAAATGAATATCTCCCCTAAATAAAAATACAAGTATACATAATTGTAAATACGTAAGTCTAGACTAACAAATGTAAAGTTCCTATATTTATCCATAATTTGAACTATTCATCAATTTCCTTAGTTTTTTTTTGTGAATTATGAGCTAATTTTAATTAAGTTTCGTCTAGTCAAGCAGTTTAGATTTTGATTCATTTTAAGTTTCTAAGATAACCTGTGAATGATCTTTTAGTATGGAATAATAAGAAAGTGTACTATCTGCAAGTGTTTTATTGAATTTATACTATTGACAACACATAAAATTATAATGTGCCTAAACATTACATCTTAGTACTATTATTATAAAATCTTATTTTCTTCGACGCTGAATCGCCTTTAGCTGCTAACAACGCCGCATCTCTTTTTCTAGGTCTATGTTTCTTGCTGAATCCAATATCTGTAGTCATACAAACCAATATTACTTTAGTACTACAGTACAGTAGTAGTTACAGAGCAATAATCCTATGATTGCAAGTCTTAGCTATTTTGG